AAAATTAAACCTATTAAAAAAACAACTTTAGAGCAGCGATTTTCAACCTTTTTCATCTCATGGCACACACCAACTACCAAAATTCTGTGGCACACCAAAGATCTATTTTTTTGCCCATCTGACCAAAAAAATAGGTATAATTTTGCTTGATTTACAAAAATAATAATAATAATAGTATTCACCTACCCTTTTTGTTCCAAAGTGATTTTTTGATTTTTTTTAATCAGGTGTCTGTACACATATATAAGGATTTCTGGTACCAAGAATGAACCAATCAGACGCAACCTTATTACGCGATGTGACCAACAAGAGGCAACCCTATTATGCGACCTATTTATTTATGGTTAAAGACAGGGCACCCCACACCCCTGAAACCAAGGAACGAAGAAGAATGGGAGGTAGGGAAGGTCAGAGAGCATCAGTGTGCCCGGGCAGGGTGACCAGTTCTCCGGCATGGACGACAGATTGGGGCAGTTTCTCTCCATGTTAATGTCGCTATAACCCCCTCTCCAGGCCCAAGGGAAGGTGCTGACTGGGCTTCAGGCCTGGGTACAGCAAGGCCCTCAGAACATCCAGAAATGCAGGAGCCAACCTCTAATTCTGCAGTGCAAGCATGCTGTCTGGGTCAGAAGAGATAAGAGCTGGGGAGTGGGAATGTTTGATCAATAGTTTAGCAATGAATTTAAGCTTCCCTCCAAGACATGGATTCCAAAAGTGAGCCATGTAACCCAAACAAAGTAGACCTTAGGGCTGAACTAAACTTCTGTCAAACCAGTTTGAATTCCCTGCTGCGAGGTGTCCGTGGCTCGTGTGTTTATTCACATCTCCATGGCAACTCTTCTATCTTTTCCAGTCAACATCCTGTCCCTGGAAATCACAGGACTGGATGGGGCCAAGGAGCTGGGCCTGGGGGTGTGATCTGCAGCATCTGGGTCAGAAGCGATGCTCGGCACAGCCCGGGGTGGGAGGCAGATGCTGCTGTGGGGCCGCTGGCTGCTGAGCTCGGTGGGCGCCGCACTTTCCACGGAGGGGCTGCACGTGGGGCCGAGCTGGGAGGAGGGGCCAGGCTGAGCATCTGGGGGAGCAGATGGGCCGGAGAAATGGCTGCTGGAGATGGTGACAAAGGCTTGGCAAGTGGGTCCTGATGCTGTTTATTTTTAAGTGGGGGAGAAGCTAAAAACAGAAACTGGGTGGGTTTGAGCAGCTGGACAGTTCTTCCAAATAATCACTGAAGTTTTTCATTTTCTAATAAAAATGCTAACCAGAGGGTAAGAGATGAAGAGCGAGGAAATGGCAAGCGGGGGAGACTGGTGGGGAGATACCTCGCAGGCCATAAAGATGAAATCAAAGACAGAAAATGAACAATTCTAGCTCTCAAGGGCGGCCAGAGGGAGGCCCTCAGGTCAAGAGGACTCAAACTCTGGAAGTCACTCCAGGGCCCCCGTCCCATCTCTGGGCCAATCTGCCAGGCCACTGATGCCCTTGACCCCTTTCTCAAGGCACTTTGTCATTTCCCTTTAGAAG